TTAATAGCACAGAGGTGGGCACTCGAGTTCACTTCACCTCCTAGCCGTGCACTGATAGGCAATTATCAGCCAAGAGCATTAATTTTAACAAAACTGTGAGTGAGCTTCTATGACTTACCTTTATTTGGGTTTGTATCGCTGCCTTACGTTTTTTATATGCCGTTTGTATACTGTTTCGCTATCTAATTCGGCTGGAAGATATGGGAATCGGATGTCCGGAAGAAAGTCCTTTGGCAAACCAGAAGGCCTTTCTTACAGAAGAAACCCTTGATAACAAAAAGCTCTTTGCAACCCCCTTCCTATGGTGACGGTAGGGACGAGGTTCCTATTGGGCCATAAATATGGATTTCATTATCTGGTTTGTTGGTAGCTTACATTTCAGTCATTTCTTAAATTGAACTTCGACGCCATTACAAAAAATAACATTAATTCGTAACTTCCTGTTAATTCTCGAATCATAACATAGTGAACATCGTTTGCCTGATAATAAATCATGTAATTTTAACGCATTCAAATTTGTAGGCCTCATGATACCAGTGAATTTCCCTTGGCATTACTTTCGAAAAAGTTTTCTCATCCAGGCCGGACTACAGTTTCGACCTCGTCACCTTGTATAAGATAAATTATCATGTTATTTGGAATAATAGATATTCCCGAAGCATATTCTCTTCGAAAATAAGCAACTTCATCGAAAATCGTGGTCTCATAGAAAATTCAATTTTTATTATGATAAAGTCACATGTCTAGTGATCCCCTGGCACTTCTGGCTTTGTAGCAGAATGTAAAAGTGTTGCCACAATGTGCTCGACCCTGCTTCGAATCCGACTTGTGATGCTGACAAGATTTAGGCAAGCTAAATACTGCAATCTATCCTGGAGAAGAAGCCATCTTGTGAAGCAAAGCTGGAGCATACTAATATCTTTGTGAGTAGTACTCCACTTTTAGTCCTTAATTCGCTTTAAGCGAGCTTAGGTGAGTAAATTCTGATTAAATGTTAAGCCGTGAATTTGAGACGAGGCTAATGCGTTTTGTGCCTTTTGCAGAAGCTTATAAAACTTTTGCTTTTATGCTTCTTTCTTGGTTCACAGTCCATACAAAGTCGCACAGTAAGCAATCTAGTTCTTAGCTTGTCATTTATATCTGAAGAGACAGGTTCGCTCCTCTTTTCTCACTATAATCCAGTCATGGTTCCACAAGTCTTCGGTGAGCTTCTCCCTCTACCAAGGTAAACAATCCCTGGGCAAAAGATCATCTTCTTAGTTGATGCTTCCTGCTAGTACTTTGAGGAGATCCCTCTACACCAAGCGCCCAGGTGAGTCGTCTATAGGACAGACAAAATCCCGGCACTGACCTAATCATGGTAGTAACTGAGTAATCCCGAATCGCTCTAAGAAGTAGATTATAGACCTTTCACTACCATATTCCAGGCAAGTTACTTGTAAAATTCAGTCAAAGAGACATACATCTAATGAAGCTAATAATATAATTAATTTTTTACCCTCACTTTTTAGTGCCCCCAGCTTTTCGTATGAAACTAGCCTGTCTTAAAAGACCACCACAACAACGTCTATTAAGGACTGATTTTAAGCCACTATTCAGCCTGCAAAGACCACTGATCAGAGCAATCTTTCTATATTTTTTAAACTGGTCATTAAGAACGCCTATCTTAAGCATGTTTTTTTATTTTAACCGTTAGCATATCGTATATTTACAACAAAATCCAAATATGACCCAGGTTTTAGAGTGGGGTATGGAACAAATAAGGCATATATTTATATATGTTTGCTGATAAATGATTTTTGAGGCCTCTCTTATTATCTCAGGGTGTATTAGGCTTTTATTTAGAGTAGAATTGTGCAATAAGGATACTCGTTTATCTCCAATATCACTTGTTTTTCCGTCACTTGCTTCTACTGGGGCATGCGTGTTGATGCACTTCTCGAGACATTCTCATTCAGGTGCAGTAAACACGTGCTGATATTTTACCTGGCATATGAAGAGCTGAAACGTAAAAAGTTAACAAAACTAACTGTATTCACGTAGAACAGAAAGGATTGAATTAGCGCTGCAGACTTCATAGGTCAAATAAGGTGATAATGGATTATAGTTAAATTTTCATGCAATTATAAGAATATACCTCATCGTTCCGTTTGTTTACACTTAGGTTTGCTGATTAAAAGATATTCTCATACAGGGTGGACCACAATATTTTGTCATTATTATAGACTACCCTACTTATATGCATATAAGTAGGATTTTAGTATGTCAATGGGTCTTTAATAAGAATTAAAAAAAGTTATTCCTTAACTTTCAAATAGAAAATTTCTTTCGGTTTCGACCTGCAAGAAACCTCAACTCATAGCACAACGCCCGAGTGTCAGAGAGTGTTACTAAAATGTTAGTGTGTATAAGAGTTTCAGTCACACTAGGACTGAGCTTTCCCATAATTATATGAGTATACCTCACCTTTCCACTGAATTTCACATATCCTTGCTTCCCAAAATAGTAGTCATATCTAGGCCGTACAACAGCCTCGACCTCGTTTCATCTTCTTGCCAGCATCCACAACAGGAATCGAACCTATGTTGTGATAGTACGGAGTATTATACCATAACCCTACACTGCCAAGAGTGTCTCTAAGCCATGGGCCAAAGCTCCCCATAAAACATTTTTACACTGGGATTGCCGATGAGGAAAACTTTTATCTTTCCATTACAATCAACTAAGTTAATTACATTTACGTAAAGTAGGCTTCAAAGGTATCAGTAAAACTTGGGTAAAAATTCAGTCACTCTTGGTGACAGAAAATGATAAGCTTTATACCTTTCAAAGCTGAGAGTCAGTAACAGTTCGTCTTAAAATTAGTTATCTCCACCACAAAAAGGTATTGACATGTATGTAGTTTGGGCGTAATGAGTGAGCATTTAGCGTAAGCTTTGTACATATACATTCTCTCCGTGTTGCACCATCTTTGAAGCCTTCTTTCGTTTTTCCCACCTTTCAGTTGCTGCAGTTTGCCAGCAAGCTGCAAAGGCTTCGCCGACGCCGACATGCCACCAGTCGACACTATCTGGTACCCCAATCCCACTGTCCAGGTCCCTGTGTTTGTCTAGAGTTCCCATCTGCCTCGGTTGGTGCCGTTGCTGGCGAGCCCGACGACGGCAGCTCTTCTTGCGACAGTTTCGGTATGCGCCGGGAGAGTAGACACCGAGGCTGGCCGAAGACACATGAGTCTGGACCACCTGGTCAAGCTTTGTCGCCGGGTCGTTCAAAGTTTGTCAGCTCTGCATTTGCTGCCAGCCAACGAAATGCGTTGAGAAACCGTCTGACAGTCGGCGGCCTGGCGTCTGTACCGGCTGCCTCTCTTGGAGCAGCTTTGGCGGCGACCATCACCTCGGAGACGGTCAATTACACTTCGAGCAGTGAGCAATCCTGTGATACAGTCATCTACTTGGGCAGGCACAGACTGCCCGAGGACATAGACACCGACAATGAAGGTCCACCCGAGCCGCTCTGCTCGAAGCTGAAGCGAATTGACCAGTTGACAGCTGATTCAGACTCAGTGGGTTCGAGCATACACACACGCATGCACACACATACACACATGCACACATGCAGACTCAAGTTGCGTAAAGTAGTTGCTAATGGATACCCCCATCTTGCATAGCTTTAGCATGACGACAGTTTTGCAGCACTATTTTACCCCCGACATGAAGTGCAAATATTCATATAAGAAAAAATTAACTACCAATTAGTTCACCCTTAGCGGGAAAAAAGGGGTAACCTGCCAGATTTACTTAGAGTTTTCTGTAAGAAATATATCTCTCAACCGTTTCGGCGCTGACATAGAAGACCCATATTAAATTCCATCTTGAGAAAAAGCCATTTCAATTTTCCTTAGAATTGAACCATGGCAGTTTGTAGGGATAATCTCGGCTTCTTGGCTTGCCTTTACACTTCTTTAATGTATCATCGTTTAGGAATGTATGGTTTCCGGTATACTGGTTTTCAGTCTCGGCTAAGCTGCCTTCTCGACCTCCTGCATTTGCTAAAATTCGTAACTGTGGAATCCAGCTCTGTCATTGAGCTCTGAAGTATTCCACACAAAAATAAGTTGGGTTACAGTTAACTTAGTCAAGGCCATCTGCTTTTAGACATAGTAGTCATTCATGTAATATTCTTCGTATATAATATAATTTACCATTATAACAATGCTATTTGCAATTAAAATGTTCTTTTAACCTTTGTGCGAACAAATGCACGATCATTAGAATTAAGAATTATAGATAGTATAGACTTATCTAAAATGGAAAATAATTCAAAGCTACAAACCACTATATTTCCATTTTCTTGTGCCTTTTGCAGGAAATAGAAATTTCAGCTATGATTTTAATCTTATACAAAGAACAAATAGTTAAAATATATAGCTACCTTTATTTTTAACGCTGAAAAATGATGCAATCACTTTGCAATAGTGAAATAATTTACTCTCATTTGTGAAACGGTCTGATATTTGAGTTCCTGTTTCTCATACATCATCTATGTTTTATAGGAACTACTAAATGTCAAGAAACAAGTACGAGATGTATTCACCGTATTTCGTTGATGAGGGCTGATCTCATCATCACCTGATGAAACCTAACCGAAGTCGAGGCTGCAGTCCACTATTGCCTGGATGAAAATGCCTTTTTGGAAGCAAAGCTCCGTGTAAATCAGTGGGACCGTTGGGCTTACACATATCATTGTGGGAAAGTAAACTATCACTCCTTCATCAGGCTTAAACGAAATAGATTGAATTCGCCACATGTATATGATCCACTGGGAGTCTGGAAAACCTACTTATAAGCGAGAACTAAGAAATAAGAATCAATGAAAAGAAAATATGTGTTTGTGTATGAATTATCTTATGTCATAATTAGTCTGATTTAGGAACCGTATTGCATATAGATGCTAACACGCACAAATATACATAATCATACAATCGAGCAAAAATAACAGAATCCGTATGAAAAAAAATTAACCAAACCACTCTATATCGATCTATCTAGGTTTTTAATTTTCATTTGGCTCAATTGAGTC